CCCACCCGATCAGCCACCTGCACCAGTTGTGCCCAAGGCTGTGCAAGAATGTATCTTGCGAGGGGAGTTCGTCGATTTTTCAAGTTTGTTGCCTGAAATTCTTGCACACTTCCGGCCCAACATTCCGGCTGGTGCACAGCCCGAATAACGATAGCCAGCTAAATATCGTTGAGTCGGATGACGCGAAGCAGGCGCGTTGCAAGGTTCACGATATACATGTAGCTACCCGGCTCGAGGTATGGACCACATACATGTCTGTTATCACGGCTGCTGCCCCACACCGCACTGCTGAACTGCTGAACTGATTGCGTACCAGCAGTTGATCCTGACTGTTAACCGCCAGTTCTTCCCAAGCACGTGGCTAGAGTACGACCGCCAGCCGCGGATGCTCGTGGCCCAGTAACCAGGCACGAAGAGGTTGGACACCATCGACGTGAACCTACGGCAGATAGCTTTCACAGGCCATGCACACCCAAAATGTGCTCAATGTAAGACGGTCCATCCAGGGGCGGTTTGTGTCCTTTTCGTCCCCAATCTCAATTCCCCAAACCAGCAGCATTTACCTCCAGTGGTCGCACCCATACCAGCGACGGCCACGAAATCTGCCGCAACTTCAATGGAGGTCGCTGTTCTTCGTCGTCGTGCCGCTTCTCCCACACCTGCAGTCAGTGTGGAAAGGACCACCCATGCATCAGGTGCAACCAGCAGCAACGCGGAGCCAATTGGCCACCCCTCCGCTCCTAGCAGAATGGCTACTGAATCGCTTGACTCGGTACGTAGCTTCTTTCCTATACACTCTGCAGACACCACACTGCTTGCTGACCACTTTGCCCGCCTGTTACGTAACCACTCAGATCAATCATGTGTTGCGTATGTTCTCCATGGCCTGCGCCATGGCTTTACTCTTGGATCTGCCGGGCAACACGACATTTCGGTTTTCTCTAATAATCTGCCCTCGGATTTCACTCACTCTGCATTTATATCCGATAGGGGTAAAACGATTAAGGGATATTCTATAACGGTTAATCCAAAACTTATCGATTACTTATCAACTTAGCACCACTGACAACAAAACTCACCATTTTGCATCAACTACAATCAATTTTGAAACTTCAAAGAGAACAAAAATAATGGAAACATCGACCGTCACACAGGCACAAACTGAAGTAGGAAGCGACGAGCGGGTTCTGGGCCAGGGGGCGCCCGGGTCCCAAAAAATGGGGTATTATTGAAAATGGGGTACTAATAGTACCCCATTTTTGCGGTGAAAATTATTTTTGGCCCGGTTTTTTTTGCGGATAAAAATATGTGCCAGGGGGTGCCCTGACCCCAAAAAATGGGGTATTATTGAAAATATGTGTTGTGCACATGTGGGTTTGAATCTCACTTTTTTGGGCCACCTTGCCCCGGATGGGAGTGGGTATAAAAAGTAGAATGTTGAATATGGTGTTTATCATGAAGTTTTTTCCGTGACCTACCCCACCTCCCCATGCAATTTTTCAAAAATGGTCCTGCTCGCACACACGTCAGAAAGGTCAGTTCTTGATAGATACGATACATGTCATTACAAAGAATAATGGAACGAACAGTGAATATCGCAATGGAGTGGAGGAGAAAGGTAGTACAATTCAGTTCTTGTTGTCCTGATTTCATCAAGCTGGTATTGGATGAGAGACCACAAAGTTTACTCTTCTAATACGTGTGAGGATGGATTCACCCATGATCTCTTCCGTGACACGCAGTACGAGGTGGAGTTGTCGGACGCTCTGATGTGCACCAATGGTTCCACCCAGTCAGCAATGGAACTGTCAGTCGACGACCTCCTTTGCACCGCCATCGTGTCAACAGTCGACTCGGGTAATTTGGAGATGAATCCATCGTCGCCGATGTCGATCGTACCAACTCGCACACGAATCCGCGTTACTCTTGTTGCAACGGCACGGAGTTGAACGGCCTTGGTACTACGTCGTACACGCACACGATCAACTCGAGAGACTTCATTTTTCGTTCACCTCCTTGACAAGTTGCATTACGTCGCTGGAATCCAAATAGGTTGCATCAGCGAAGAGGTCGATGATGTGTTGAGAGCACGGTTCGTCACGCATGTCACTAAGCTTGTAGAATGAGTGTCTACCATCAGTCCACCTTCGCAGTATGACACCATCATCAGTCTCACTAATAGTTCCGTAGTCCTCCACACCACCGATGACGATTTTAGGAAGGTGCTGTTTCCTATTCTTCACATTCAAGATCAGGCTGGTGACCCTGCAGATAATATACTCAGCAGCAGTGAGTGGTGACATATCGAATCTTCTGGGATGTGCTATCATCGGGTCAAGATCCCTGGTTGTCTTGCTAGCACTGAGGCGACGGATTGAGAACTCTTCATTATCGCATGAAAATAAATACCATTTCTCTGCTCTGCACGTCTCAGAAAATGTCCACGCCATTTTAGCTTCTTCACACTGCAAGAAGGAGTCGATAATGAAACTGCAGGTTGAGACTACTTCACCTCGAGGTCAAAGTTCACGCCGCGATGACCTTTGTAAACAAGGCTACGTCTAGACGTCTCAAACAAGACCAAGGGGTCACGCCACGGGGAGGTGACGACCTTGGAGAACACGATGTGTTTCGAAAGCGGAAAGACGCCCCCGTCATGGTGAGTCTTTTTTGTTCGGGTTTGGAATCTTTCGACTATGATATCAGATTGAGATGTGAATGCCTTTCTTCTATTGAAAGGTCGATGAGACGGAGGATTTTTCTAGCTTTCTGCTCATATAATTCTTACTCTCATAGTACTTGATTTTCATATATTTTCAGGGGTGGAAATACGTAAGGCACACGGACCATGGATGCGCACATCATGGAGTGTGCATTGACGTCACAGTGGATTGTAGGATGCATCATGTACCACACAAACACACACACACATGCACATAATATACATACACTGTGCAATGACATCACAGCGAACTGCACGATCGGTGGATGCTATACATATACGGAATTCCGTGATCTCTTCTCATACAGAGAGGGTAGAGAGGAATTCAAAAGGAATCTTGGAAAGAGGACTCAACTGTCAATAGAGCGATATTCCCCGCTCGGAGCACGAATATTCCCCGGGTCTTGCGACAGAGTAAATAAGGGAGATGTTAGTGCTGATCACGCTCTATTTGGGATAGTACATGGGATAAATGGATTATACCATTCGTACTCTGTGCATACCGTACCCATTATATTTTCAATCATGCTGACGCAC